ACCCGGGGGGGGTCGTCCTCTCAGTTATGTCTCTGTGTTGCTTGTGCGCGGAGAGGGGGCCGTCAGGTATCACGTTTGGTCTTTGTTGGGTTTTGTACCCGGGGCCAGCTGAGATGGCCTGTCGGTCTTTCCACATACTGTGCGCTATATTATTTACAAGCAGTACGATTTTTTATTTAAAAAGAAAGGTAGATGGGCTCCCACTGCCCCTCCTCCCCAGAAGGGTCACTTAGCAACCTGACCCAGAACCCAGCGCTTCTGTTCCGGGAGGAAGGGTGTCTGGGGAGGGGGGCGTACCTGGGCCTGTGGTGGGCTCACCTTTCTAGACCCTGTGCCGGCACGTAGAACAGCGTCAGCGTCACAGCGGAGCAGCCCTTGCGGTTTTGAACAAAGAACTGAGCAATCAGCCTTTCTTTCTTGTCGTCTCGGAAATGAGATCATTGGCATTACTCCTTGGCGTGAGCCCCTTCATGTCTCGAAGCCCCATGTGCACCCGTGTCCCCTGTGCTGCAGGGGTGTCCGGCACGGGCACTGTATCGCCCCTCTCGGTGGCGACCGCGACAGGGACGGAGGGTTCTCCGTGATGTTGCTTTCTGGGCCACTTTGTGTTACATCTAACTCAACAAACCTAGCGATTTGGTGGCCCGTTTTAAGTCCTGACGGTGGAAATGTCCAGAAAGCTGTGAAAGCAGGTGCCTCCTAGCGTCCCAGGGTCAGAACTGTGGAGGCCACAGGCGCGCCCACACACGTGGTGATGCTCCTCCGTGCCCGGGGCCTCTCCCCTCCTTCCCCCGCGCCCAGGTCCTCTCCCCTCCTTCCCCCGAGCCCGGGGCCTCTCCCCTCCTTCCCCCGTGCCCGGTGCAGACAGGATCCAGGCGAGGAAGCTGAGGCTTGGGCAGAATGTTCAGTGGAGGGTCCTGCTCCTGGATAGAGACAGCCCAGGGAGGCTCCCCCAATGGCCGTGCCGCACTGTGTGACCCAGCTCTCCCCGCGTCCGCCCCGGTCAGCACTCACGTCAGGGGGTTTGGGCCAAGCAGGGTGGCAGACCGGTGTGATCGAGTCCGACCTCTGGCCTCCAGACCACTGGGGGACACGGGCTCCCTTCGGCGTCCGCGGCCTGATGTGACAAGATCACGTTCTGTGTTACTCGCAGACGGAGCCCCACGCATCTAGACGGCACGCTCCCTTGCACGCACACGGACAGCAGCACCACGGTGCTCAGCAGATTTGACCCTTGAACTTCTATGGGCTAAGACGTGTTGCTAGGGCCCCAGCTGGTGTGGCTCAGTGGATTGAGCGCTGGCCTGCGAACCCAAGGGTCGCCGGTTCGATTCCCAGTCAGGGCACATGCCTGCGTTGTGGGCCAGGTTCCCAGTAGGGGGCGTGTGAGAGGCAACCACACACTGATGTCTCTCTCTCTTTCTCCCTCCCTTCCCCTCTCTAAAAATAAATAAATAAAATCTTTAAAAAAAGAAAAAGAAATGTTGCTAGGATGGAGACCCAAGAATAACTTGAGATGGCCTCCTTTTTGCCTTCTCTCCTCTAACCTTCCTTAGACACGAGCATTAGGTTGATGCAGTGCAGCGTGGTGGGGAAGGTGGGTGGGAATTACAGTGCAAGGCTGGCGTGTGCACCTGAAACCTGTGTAGTTTTGCTAACCAGTGTCCCCCAACGAGTTTAATAAAAAGGAGAAAATGCTTGTTGCCTAAAATAAATAACTTCCATCACAGAGAGCCGGCGGACCATAGAGCATTCTGGCTCTAGGGTGGCCGTCCTGCCAGGGCACTGGGGAGGGGGCTTCTGCATTGAAAGCAGCTTGGTCCGTGTCCCCTGCCGCCTCCCGGCTCAACGTCTGGGGCCGGTGCGGGTGCCAGGGGTGGGCTGAGGCCGGCCGGACGCGGCTCGGGGAGCCCGACCAGCCCTGCGGAGTGTCGGTCCCAGCGCCACCGAGAGCAGACCAGCAGGGCAGACGCGGGGGTCGCCAGAGCGGTTGGGGACTGTCCCAGGCCTGCGGAGGCCTCTGGGCGCGGCGGGCCCCATGGGCCCCAGGAGGGCTAGACTAGGGCGGGGTGGGGGGCAGTGGGCAGCCAACCACGGGGCTTCCCTCCACCTTAGGGACCCAGTGTCACTCCTCAGGCTTTCCAGCAGAGTGGGTGGGGCTCGCCCACGGTCCCCAGGGCCGTCTCCTGCACTCAGGTCAGCCACTGGTGGGTGTCAGCCCGGCCGAGTGCCTCACGGCGACCTCACAGCACGGCCCCACTGAACAGCGGGCCCCCGCATGCCAGCCACTGCACCGCGGTGCGCCTGACTCTCTCAGCCGTCACCCGGGACCATGATCTGTGGCCCTTCTCCGCCCCTTCTCCGTCACCCCGGCTGTAGCAGTCCCACCGTGTGGAGCGTTTCAGCTCCAGGCTCAGAGGCTCATTGGCACCCCCTCTGCGGGCAGCCTGGCGAGGCGGGGAGCCTGGGCTGGCCCGGCCCCAGCAGGGGAGGGCGGCCGCTGGGCGTGTGCTGCATGCTCCTGGGGGCCTGGACCCGCATGGCAGTCCTCTCTACGGGGTACCTGTGCTCTGGAGACCCTTCCAGAGGGGCAGCCCTCTGCCCTTCGCCCCAGACCGGCAGTCCCCGTCTGGGTGAGCTGACTGGTAATTTGGCAGGTCCTGGGGGTCCCCACTGCTCCCCCCACTTGCGTGTTCCCCTCCGATGCAGCGCGCCCAGAGTGACAGGCTGCCCCGGCCGTCTGCTTCTGGCGGCTCCGGGAGAGGCAGGCAGTGGGCGTTCGCGGACCCCTCCGCCAGCAGGGACACCGGGCCTGCAGCTGCCATCACCAGGGCCCCCCCCTCCACCTCTTGAAGGTGACCCCAGTCTCCGGGCGACTCTCTTGGAGAGGATAGAACTCCCCAGACCACCAGTGCCACCCTCCCCGTGAAAGCAGTGGCCTCCGACTCTCCTCCCTGCACTTGCATAGCCCCGAGAGGACAGAGGGCTCTGCTCCTGGCGACAGTGGCATCTGCCCGGGTGGCCTTTCCCCAGTGAGGGGCTGTCTGCAGCCCCGTGGTGTCTTGCGTGGGCCTTGGGCTCCGGGTGCCAGGAGGGTGTGCCGTCCACTCGGCCACACCCGTCGCGGCGTCTGGGCGGTGTCGCCCGTTGCCCACACTCAGCCTGTGCCCAGGCGCCGGACCTCACCCTCCTGCCGCCGCACTGAGGAGGCGCTGAGGAGCGGGGCTCGCGTCTGTGCTGCGCGTCTCCCCCTGCCGCTCGCTTCTGGGCTTCCAGACTTCTCTTCCATTCCTTCCACCCCTGCCCCCACCGTCGTTCCCCTGCCCCCGCCCGTCCCCTGGGCGGCACAGGGCAGACTTGATGCTGCGCTGTCGCGGCTGGGCACTTGAGGAGGGGACGTGGCTCTTCGTGAAGAACGCTGTCGAGGTCTGCAGCTCAGCGTCGGAAGCAGTGAAGGCAGGACGGAGCCCCACAGGCCCTGGGCTCTCTCCCTCAGACGCATTCTCGTTCCTGCTACGGAGTCAGGTTGATCCTTCAGGTCGGGCGTTTTGGTTTCGTGCCTTCACTGGGGAGTGAAGGGACCGGGGGCTTCTCCTGACCGCCCGCACAGCCCCGCTCTGTAACCGGCAGATGCTGGGTCCAGACTGGGCAAGGCAGCGGACCCCGTTTGAACCCACTACCAGAGAAGTTGGCCGCAGAGAAAAAGTGAACTTTTTGTTTATGTCACGCATCTGTCCATTATGTTTTGCTTTATTTAGAAAGCGAACTTCATGGTAACCACACGGACGTTAAAACGTGCCTGTGCTTTGCCCTGGCCAGTGTGGTTTGGTTGGAGCGTCGTCCCACAGACGAGAAGGTCGCAGGTTCGGCTCCTGGTCAGGGCGTGGGCCAGCGCTGTGCGCTCAGCCCCCCGTCCGGCGGCCGATGCCGCTCCCCCCCCCCCTTCTCTCTCTAAAATCAGTAAGTGTGTCTTCAGGTGAGGATTTAAAAACAAATGCACCTGTGCTCCAAAGAACCCTGGACTTTGTGTGGAAAACGTCTGTTTAGGAGACACTGAGTTTTAGGGCGCTGAGAGTAAAAGGAGCCTGAGGGGTGGGGGGCTGGTGAAGGGCCATGCGGAGGCAGGGACCAGAGAAACGGGGTTCGGGGTCCTGGGAGGGAGCCGCCCAGACTCCAGGGAACGCCCTTCTCCCCGAGCCACTTCTCCGTGAGTCCAAACATGCTTCAGGAACGCGCAGCTGTCGGGTCCCCAGGCATGCGGCCGTGCCCCGCCGCGGTTCCTTCTGCCGGCGTGCAGCGTGCCCCTGGGAACGCTCCCCGGCCTGCACTCGGAAGGCTCCGTCCTGGCTGCGGCCGGCGTCGCTGACTGCGGCGAACTTGTGCAGCAAGGTCACCCCCCGGGGCGTCCTGCGCAAAGCGGCGTCGGCCGTTCATCACCGCTTTCGGTTCTCAGTCTCTGCTCCTCCTCGGTAACCCCGCCCTTTTCTCACCAGACTCGGAGCGGTTTTCTCGCCCTCGCACTCACTGGGTATAACGAGGGCCTCGGGGGGTGCCGTCACTGCCGTCAGTGTTTGTAGGTGCTGCTGGTGGAGACCGGCAGCTCACAGTCCAGGGGAGCCCTGGCGGTCGCCTGCCCACAGCCGTGCTTCCTGCTGCAGTTCTACTGCGGGCCCACACTGCGGCTGCTTTTTTTTTTTTTGAGGGGGGCAGAGGGCGAGAGAAAGGGAGAGAAGCATCGGTGGGCTGCCTCCTGTGTGGGCCCAGATCAGGGACTGAACCCACCGCCCAGGCATGTGCCCTGACCGGGAACAGAACTGGCGACCGTCCCCTTTGCGGGACGACACCCACCCAACCAAGCCCCACCCGCTGGGGCTGCTTCTGAGTTTTGACAGAAAACCACTGAAATCAGCTCTCGTTAGAATTACTTAAGATCTTTTAAAAATGTTCTTTGTGAATATCTTTGATGTCCTGGTTATAATCATAGCGTATATGGATTTTAGTTTGCAGTCAACATGTTTCGAACGTTACCACCTTCCTCCAACCCCACGGGAGCAGAATTTGACCCAGAGGAAGACGAGCCAACGTTAGAAGCAGCCTGGCCTCACCTACAGGTACTGAACTCGGGGGTGCGCCAGAAACACAGATGTGTGTGTTGGCGGGGCCCCCCCTAACGCGGGTGCACTGGCCCAAGGGCTCACTCCAGCTGGTCACGGGTGGACCTCTGGTCGTTAGGGGCATAGCCCTTGCACACTTGTGTGTACACGGAAGCGCTGTAGCAGAAGAGAGAACATGGGATGGTTTTTGTCCGGGGGGGTGCTGTGTATCAACTACAGCGATACGGGGTTGTCAGTGTGTTTTTTATGGAAACGACCACCGTGCTGATGGCCTGGAGGACTCACACGGACATTGCCGGGTGTGGGGTCTGTAGATTTGATGTGCACCTGTTCTGTGCCCCAGAGCTCAATTAGGAGGTCCGGGTGGTCCTGGGGGGGTGGGTGGATGGGAAGAGGTGAGAACCGGGAGGGAACCAGGGGCAAAACAAACAGAAAAGGAGGGCTGTCTCAGGAGCGGAGCGCCCCCTCCCACGGCCTCTGGGACCTCCTCGCTGACCAGTCCCAGCGTCCTGTCCACCCGGCTCCCCTGACACTTGGAGGTGACAGGCTGCGAGTCCCACCCAGAGTTTGGTCACAGCCCGGCTCATGGCCACTCTGCACAGTGGCCTCCAAGCAGTGTAATGTCAGCGTTGGTGACATCAGCATGGCAGTTACTGGGTTTAAATGCCATTTAAGGAGATAGTCTGTGGTTCTCAGCCAAACCAGACAACTACTGGCATCAGTTATAATTGAATGGGCCATGTAATTTGGCATTAGCTGTGTACGTATACGGCTCTTTTAAGGCTAGTGTTTGTGACAAGACTCAATGCATGGTGTATGTTTAGTCTCCATTTAATAAAATGCCGTGTTTTTTGACTCGGTCTTTTTTTTTTCTCCCTCCTAGCTTGTTTATGAATTTTTCTTAAGATTTTTAGAGTCTCCAGATTTCCAACCTAATATAGCGAAGAAATATATTGACCAGAAGTTTGTATTGCAGGTAAGGTGCAAAACTGCTGAAACTACAAAAGCCCTAATTTACAGGGAGAACCTCCAGTCACTAAGTGTCTTTTTCTTCCTGAAGCTTTTAGAGCTCTTTGACAGCGAAGATCCTCGAGAGAGAGATTTTCTTAAAACTACCCTTCACAGAATCTACGGAAAATTCTTAGGCTTAAGAGCTTACATCAGAAAACAGATAAATAATATATTTTATAGGTAAGTCCGTGCGGGTGGCATTTCTCTCTTCACACGGTGACGGTCATTTCCATACTCCTCCCCCCGCCCCCTTGTTCCCTCGACAAGGGACCGAGGAGCCGCCGGCTGGGCGTGTCCAGCGGCCCTCGTCTGCACCTGCACCCCCGTGCCGGGCTGCAGCTGGCCCCTCCTCCTCCCTGCCCCCGCCCGGGCCCACCCCCAGCACCTCGTCACACACCCCCTTTGTGTCGGTGTGCACCAAAGCCAGGGGTCCGTCCGGGGCGCAGGCAGTGATCTGCCCAAAGCCAGCCCTCCTGTCCTCCTACAGTTCCTCCATCCTCCCCACTGCGTCTCAGTGGGGGGAGGAGGGGGAGGAGAGGACCTCTGGGAAACCTCAGGAGACTCGCGTTGGAGACTTGGAGACTCCCCGGTGCTCCCTGCTGGGAGGCGCACGTAGAGGCCGGGCGGCTTTCAGCGGCCACGGCCGCCCCAGGCCTGCGGGAGCACGGGGCCAAGGCAGGCCGGGCTGGCCGCAGCGCCACAGCTCATTAGAGAACGTTCCACAGCATCCTGAGCGCAGGTCCTGAGCGCAGTGTCCCCCTTGACCCCTGGGCCCCAGCCCTCCCCGTCCCAGCCTCAACACCCCTCTGGCACCCCTTCGTCTCTGCTGCTGCCTCCGGTCACACGACGGATGTCCCTCGGGTGAGCAGGTGTTCAGTCCGGGGTGGGGCCCCCTTACGGCCGCCTCCCTGCTCCGCCCCAGCTCCTGCGAGTCGGTGCCGGCAGTCTGGTTCCGTCTCCTGCGACGTTCCTTTCCGCCAGCCCTTCTCCTCAGCTCCCTAGGCCTCCGGAAGCACCTGCGCGCTGGGAATGCCTCCCCGGCCCGGCGGGCGGGCCCAGCCGCCCTGCCCTGCGAGGGCGGGCTTCATGCCAGCCGCTCTGGTGCCCGTCCCAGTGCCAGCTCGCGCCCCGCCGTGGTGGCACCAGACAGGTGCTGGTAGATGAAACAGCCGCTGTGCTGCGCTGCCCCTGGAAGGCCCACTGAACCCGCAGTGCGTTCTGTGGGCGCTGGCTTCTCGGGAAGGCTTCCCCGCGGCCCCGAGTGCAGAACGGCCCAGGGCAGTGACGGGCCCTCACGGCGACAGGCACGGTGTGCGGGTCCCTCTGTGAGGCGGTGGAGCTGCAGTGCCCGAGGGATGCCCCGACTGAGCAGGGGAGAAGGAAAGGGCCGGGGTGGGCGGGTGGACGGGAAGCAGGATCCCGCAGCCGAGACCGACAGCCTCTCTGGGGAGTCTGTCACCAGTGTCTCGTGCTGTCTGTCACCAGCCTGGCCCGCCCTGGCATGCAGCCCAGTGCGTGAGGTCCCCCTGCCCCGCACTCCTGTGCTCCCAGGGTCTGACCCTCTCCCTTATCCCCACACTGGACGCGGCGTTCCAGGGGCAGAGACTTCCCATCTCTGTGTGAGGGTGGCTTCCCTCTGAACGCCTTCGGGCCCCCACACCCATCTCGCACACTCAGGACAGTGATGCCTCGCTGCCTGTGCCCGGCCCTGGCCGGTGTTCTTGGTGCTGACGAGGCCGCTCCCTGCTCGGCTGGTGTGGCCAGTCACCTGTCAGAACATGGTGTACGTGTAGGTCCTTTAGGCCTAAAATTAAAGCCCCCCCCCCCAAAAGTAGGTGTTTTGTTCCTAAACACAGGTCTCGTTCAGATAACAGAGTCACACATCAACACTGGCATTCAAGAAGCAGAAAGTGTTTCATCCCTTGAGGAACCTGAATCTAGTGACTGAGACACTCTCATAGGTTGCGGCTGAAGAGTTACCGCCGCACAGTTTAGTTCAGCTCGCACTGAAGGGTCAGGGCGAGAGTGGGTGCTTTTCTCTTGTTTTCCAGTGAGCTTTTCTGCAGTGACCATCCCTGACACACACGCTCAGAAGTGAGCACGTCGCGTGGGCCCCACAGCTGGCCGGGTCTCCGCCCTCCGCGGCGCTGCCTCCTCGTTTCCCGCAGTGGGGGCGGGGGGGGGGCACGGTGACGGCGCGAGGCCTCGGGGGGGCACTCAGCTCTCAGGGTTCCTTGTGGCGCAGGCGCGTCTGAGGAGGAGAAGAGCATTTCAGACCTGCTTGCTCCAGTTCACTGTATCTGTAGTTTCTCGTTCCACTCGGCGTCTTCAAGGTGTGGTGTAGAGAGAGCTCTAGATGCCCGTGGTGCCTGTTGTGGCAAACAGTGGGCCCCAACGGTTAGGCGGCTGCGGCGGGCCGGGCTGCAGTACCCTACTGCGCGACAGGCCCGCCCACCTCTGAGTGGCTGAAAGCCGTGTACTCTTGCCCACACTTCTGCGATCCGCCCTGGGCTCGTCCGCGGTTCTGTGGGGCGTCCATGCACCCCGTGTACCGGTCCCAGCCCCTCGGGCTGGGACTCGGGAGGAAGCCGTCTGCCTGTTCAGAGGAGGGCAGCTCGCGCCCCGCTGGGAGGAGAGGGGTCCCGGCCCAGTTTGGGGACCGTCTGCCGAGCATCCTCGGAGCCCAGAGGTTCTCGCTGAGCGAGCCAGCGGCCCTCCGGCCTCCCCGCACCGACCTCCAAGGCTTCTTCCCCACTCCACGCCGGCTCTTTTGTCTCCTGCGGGAACGTGAGGAGGGAAACTGCGCTCATTCTCTTTCTGCACCTACTTCAAGTAGGGTTAAGCTGATTGGAGATTAAGAAAACAGCAAGGCTGACTTGGGAAACCAAGATGGCTTATACAGCTAAAAGCCGTCCTTATTGAAACAGTAAAGCTGGTGGAGATGGATCAGAAGCATGGTGGGGGGTGGGGGCGGCGCTGGTCAGGCTCCTCTGTGTCTGGGGCTCAGAGTCCCCCCAGAGCTCAGTGAGAGGAACCGTAGCAGAAGTTGCTCGGCGGCAGTGTATGCAAAGCTGTGGCTTTGGCCATGTCACGGTTTCGAGCGTCTGAAACAAGTGAGGCACAGGGGAGCCTTGCGGTGGAGTTCCGTGGACTCGAGCGCTCCGTGGAGTGGCTGGCCGCGGGGCGGCGGCCTCCCGTGCAGCGGCGCTCAGGCCCGGCAGGTGTCGCGGGGAGGGTGGTGGCAGCAAAGGGCCGTGCCCGCTGGTGGCTCGGGCACTTCCGTGGGCCTTTGTCCTCCCCCGCGGCCCTGTCCCTCCAGCCTCCACGGGCCGCCTCGCCTGCCCTCCCGCCCCGCCGCCCACCACCTGCCCCGCGTCACAGACCTCTGTTCTGGACGAAGCAGCTCTCTCCCCACTGCGCACCCCCTTGTCTGAAATCCGGGGAGTCCTCCCTCAGGACGCCGTTCGAGCCCCGCCCGTGCGGTGACGGGTCACCTGGAAATACACGTGCCAGCGGCAGACCCGCCCTGCAGGGTTCCTTGGCACCCCGTGGGTGCCCGGCCATTTGGTTTCCAGACACGGACGATGGAGTTCGAGTCCCACTCTCTGTCCATCACCCACTCTCATCGTGGCTGGGGGCGGCTCTCAACTCCATTCCCGCCGAGAGGCGGGGACCCTTTTCTGACACCCTCGCTTCGGGCCGAGTCAGCCCGAGTTGGCTTCGACGCCCCCGGGCGAGCAGGTGTGAGCCGGGCAGGTGGTTCCCCACAGGCCCTTGGGGGAAGGACACGCCTTTCTGTGTCCCACTCGTCGTCCCAGCGCGGGAGCTCGGTCCTCCTCAGCCGGCACGGCGTGGGGGATCCCACAGGGAGGACGTGGGGCGTTCCCAGTGGGGGCGCCGAGATTCAGGCGTCTGCTGCCGACGCTGGAACGCAGCCGGGAAAAGGGTGGACGGACAGAGGGGTGGATGGGTGGATGGGTCTGATAAAGCAAACAGCACGTCGCTCGTTGTCGAGTCTGGGTGGTTGACACACCGGTGCTCACTGTAAAACGCGTCCAACTTGCCTTTTTGTTGGAAAACTTTCTAAATAAAAGGGGGAGCGTTTGAGCGGGCCCCACGCCCTGCCCCCCAGGCCACGCGGAGTGTGTCTGCAGACAAGGGGCGGGCCCCTCGCCGCGCTGTCGCCGCCTGGCTGCGTGCCCTCCCTCCTGACGGCGCGGGTTTTTGTTCGGGGGGGGGGGTGGGGTGCGGGTTTCAGCCTCTCCAGCTGTTTTCCCACTAATTCCAAATGACACCTTGCCTTCTCCAGGTTTATTTATGAAACAGAGCATCACAACGGGATAGCAGAGTTACTGGAAATACTGGGAAGGTAGGTTGTCTCTGTGTGTGTTGGCAGGGATCGGGCGGCCTTGGGTGGGGTTCGGGCCCGGGGGTCCTGTCGCCAAGTTCGGCGGCCCCCTCCGGAGCAAGGAGCAAGGAGCAGGGCGAGCGGCACCGCCCTCGGGAAGAGCCGGCGGGAGACGGGGCGGGGCGGCAAGCCCCTGCATGAGGGTGCGCCCAGGGACAGATGTCGTCCGTCTGTGCGGCTCTATGGGTAGACTCCCTCTCCTCTGCCTCGGGGACATTACTATGGAAACACCAGTTCAATTGTTTTCTCGAGAGCACCGCTAAAAATAGTTACATTAAGAGAGTTTATATTTGACACCTAGAAGAAGAATAGATCATTGTACCTTTGAGGGATTGAATAAAGGCTAATATTTCAAATTGCTTTGATTTTTATAAATTATTTGTATGTGTACTTAAAAAACAACTAACATTTCCAAAATTTTATCTTAATCCAAGTAAGGTTCTTGCTGCTATCATCGCTTTAATTGATGGCTGGAGATTTCGTGTCCGGTCTCCTAGCCCACGGCCTCCCAGGGCCTCCGGGCTCCACCGCCAGACTAGCCCGAAAGGGCTGTCTCTGGGCTCCCTGCTGGGAGGCGCTGTAACATGGGCAGCTAGCGGTTCTGCAGAACCCTGCAGTGGGAGAATCCCGCGTGGTTTTTTAAAGATTTTACTCACTTATTTTTAGAGAGAGGGGAAGGGAAGGAGAAAGAGGGGGAGAGAAGCTTCGATGGGTTGCCTCTCACGGGCCCCCCGACCGGGGACAGAACCCACAACCCAGGCAGGTGCCCTGCCCGGGAATCCAACTGGCGACCTTCACTCCACAGGACGATGCCCGACCCACTGAGCCACGCTGGTCAGGGCAGGCCTGTGCGATTGTGCTTAATGCTTCCCAAAGCTGTGCTTGCTCTTCTAGATGTAATTTGAAAAAAACGTTAGTCCTCACGGAGACCCCTGTTTTGACCAGTGTCAACACACTCAGCGGGTCTCTCTCCTGCACAGTGAGCGGTTAGGTGGGTGCCCCTTGCGGGTGGTGCGACCTTGGGCAAGGTCCTTACACTCGATCTGTTTCCTTTTCCGTGAAGTGGGAAGATAATTATATTCATCAGCTGGGTGAGCTCTTGGCAGTGTCTAGCAAAACATGTCTCTCTCTCTCTCTCACGCACACGCACACGCGCACACACACGCGTGGTCTCCTTCCACGGCTGGGCTTGATCCCTTCGTCTTCCCACAAGAGGGGTCTGATCCTGAGGGTCCCCCCCATGTGAAGGAGCACACTGTCCTTGAGGGCCACTTGGGACTAACCCTGCCCGCAGCGCCCTGTCCCCGAGGTTCACGAAGGGTGGGGGAGCGGTCTAGCGGACGCTTTAACCGCTTCTGCAGCTCTGGGTGACATTATCTGCACCTGCCCGACCCTAAAACCAAGCGAATGAACTGCTTGATGGCACAGGCAGAAACTTCGCTTGGCAGGTTACGGGTAGGGCCCTCAGACCCTCGCCCTTTGCTGAACCAGGAAACAGGTTTCCTGCTGATTCTTACCCGAAGCCGTTCTGCGCACACGCACTCTGCTCTGTCGGCATCCGAGTGAGGAGCCGGGAGTTTCTCCCGGGAAGTGCAGTCCCCCAGACGGGTGCAGGCCGAGGGGAGGTGCTGGGCGCGGCACACGGAGCTGGGACCGCCCCCCCCCCCAGCTGCTCGTGTCTGTGGCCTGAGGGAGGGGCTTCTGCCCCCAGAGACTCCTGTACTGGGTAACACCCTGCAGACCCAGAAATTCAAAATCACCCTGTAGTTCAAAAGGTGCAATTGACCGTGCTTCCTTGACGATACTAATTTTTTTTTTCTGCTGATACGCTCCTTTTATCTCAAACGTATCTTTTGCTTGCTGGTTTTCATGCTAAAAACAAAAATGGAAAGAAAAACAGCAAGATACCTTTTCTTAAGCCTGGAACTTGGAAGTGTTCAAACCTGGCACCCACTCTGCTCTCTCACAGCATAATCAATGGCTTTGCCTTACCCCTCAAAGAAGAGCACAAGATTTTCCTACTGAAGGTGTTGCTGCCTTTGCACAAAGTGAAGTCTCTGAGCGTCTACCACCCCCAGGTAAGGCCCCGGCGCGTCTTCCCGGAACGTTCCTCACGCAGCAGCGGCCCGTCCAGCCGCCGGCCGGGGAGTGCTTCCTTTCTCTGCGTCCTTTCTCGCCGTGTCGTCGGTGACTCGGGTGTCGGGGCTCTGGCGACCAGTGGAAGGGTGAGAGGGCAAAGAGAGGCTCCTTTTTAGGAAAATCAGAAAAACCTCGGGAATGGAGGGTTTCAGACTGAGGTCTCAGCGTAGAGAAGGTGCGAGTGGTGTGGCGGAAGAGCCGAGGGCGACCTTGCAGAGGAGAGCCGTCTGCAGCGGCGTGTAAAGTCCGGTGCCTGGACGGGAGCCTGTGCTGCGTCCGTGGCCAGCGGAAAGGCTCGTTTCTGTCACCTGGACTTCTACGGCTCTGAAAATCTGGCCCCTGAGTGGGGACTGACCACTGCATGTATCCAGGAGACCTGGCGTTGCCTTCGCTTTTGTTCTGAGTTCCACGTAGACAGACCCCAGCGAGGCTGGCGGCAGGCACTGAAGACGGGGGGCTCCCGCCCAGCTGGGGCCCGTGGGCTGGTTCCCGGCAGCCAGCGAGCCGGCGCCCAGGAAGCCCCGCCCTGAAGGCCTCACTGGGGCGTATGCGGCGCCGGGCACACTGGAGAGCACGGCGGACGCCTGTTCCGAACGGGCGTCTGGACGCCTGGGCGGGTCCCCTCGGTGGGGGCGGTCCTCAGCGGGCCCACACGGGCTTCGGGCCGTGCTGTTCAAGGGTCAGCGGGCAGCCAGGGCCCGCCCGTCCTGAAGGCCCGGGCTCCCGGGGGGCTTCCGGCGGCACGGGCAGCGGCCACTGTTCCAGGGCCACCTCCCTCTTCCCCGGACGATCCCAGTGACACCGGCTTCCTGGGACGCGTGTCGCCCAGAGCGTTTTCTCCGACTGCTGTTAACCGGCAAGGTCTTTACTTTACATTCAGCCCCGATGGTATCATATTAGTTGTTCTGTATTGGAAATCAGTAGTTCAGAGGTTTAAGGTGGAGTCAGATTTAATTCCATTTTTCCAAGTTGTCAGATTACTCGTTCGTTAGTTTCAAAAAAAAAAAAAAAACGGCAAGAGAGGCCCCCATCAAACCCGAGCTGATGTATCGGTGTTGGCCCAAACGACAGCCTCCTGGTCTCTCTAGCTCCCCTGGTCCTTCTGCAGCTGATGAGGGAGACGAGTCCGTCCTGGCCTGCGCTGGGGCCTGGTGCAGGGGGGGCGGCCCGCCCCGCCTGGCTGGGGGCACCCCAGGCCACGCCCCCTCTCAGCGGGGCGTGGTGTTCAACAGTGATGCTGGGGTCCTGGAAACCGAGGTGTCACTGTGGTAGAGCAAAACGCTGACACTTTTCTCCTTCCCCTGTCAGCTGGCGTACTGTGTCGTGCAGTTTCTGGAGAAGGACAGCACCCTCACGGAACCAGTAAGTGCCCCCGCCCCGCCCCACCACCGGCCACCTGCAGGCCAGCCTGCCCACAGGGTGCTCACCGCCCACCCCCCCACCCCCGTCTGCTCGGCGCGCAGCCGCGCAGCCCTCCCCCGAAGTCGCAGTCCTGATGAGCACACTGGGTGCACCCGGGCACCGCAGGGGCTCAGGGGCAGCCCGCTGGGTGACAGGGCCCTTGACTGCAGTGACGACGTGTGCCCTGGTCGTCCCCTTGTCCCTCATTGTGCCTGGAACCCAGGGCACCGGCCGTTGTCGCCACGAAGCCGTGTGCAGTTCAGCACGTGCCTTTCTCTCGGTTCATTCAGCAGCACGGGTGGCTGCCCGCAGGCGGGGGGACCGCAGGAGGGGGACCGCAGGCAGTCAGGGCCCCAGGACCGCAGGTGGGGGGACCGCAGGCGGGGGGACCTCAGGCAGGGGGACCGCAGCCAGTGAGGGCTCCGGAACCGCAGGCAGTGAGGGCCCCAGGACCGCAGGCGGGGGGACCGCAGGCGGGGGGACCACAGTGAGGGCCCCAGGACCGCAGGCGGGGGCACCGCAGGGGGGGGGACCACAGTGAGGGCCCCAGGACCGCAGGCGGGGGCACCGCAGGCAGTGAGGCCCCGGGACCGCGGGCCCGAAGAGGCTTTCCTCTCAGGAGAGTCCTGTCCGCACGGGAGCGTGACTGCTCTCCGACCACTGCATCGCAAGTGGACGTTACGTGGCTGCTGCTCTGTGTTTAGATTTGTTGGGGTTTTTGGCATTTTATTTTTATTAAAAATACAAAATTTGCCCTGGCTGGTGTAGCTCAGTGCCGGATTGAGTGCCGGCCTGCAACCTAAAGGGTTGCCAGTTCAGTTCCCAGTCAGGGCACATGTGTGGGTTGCAGGCCAGGTCCCCAGTAGGGGTCGCGTGAGAAGCAACCATTGATGTATCTCTCACACGTCAATGTTTCTTTCCCTCTCTTTCTTTCTCCCTTGTCCTCTGTCTAAGAATAAAATAAATAAACTCTTTAAAAAATAAATAAGAATACAAGAGCTATGGTAGCCTAGATTAACAAGATTGGGCATGTCAGGTGCTGGGGCAAGCATTTAAAGACTTTTTAAAAATCACTTTATTAAGGCATAATTCACACACCACACAATTCACCATTTAATATGAACAGTTCACTGGGTTTTGGTATATTATGCCTTTAACTTTTTTTAATTTCCAGTTTTTATAGAGGACGGACGAGAGGGAGAGACATCAGTTTGTGGCTCCACTTGCTGATGCATCATTCCCTGGTTGATTTCTTCCGTCGTCGTCCCCGTGTCCTTGTTGCTCTCCCCTGCCCCGCCCACCCCGCACCGGCTGACTCTGACACGTTTCCTGACCGGGGAGTGAACCTGCAACCTCGGCGTGTTGGGACGATGCTCTAACGAACTGAGCTACCCGGCCAGGGGTCAGCCTTTTAAACTGTGGTAGAACACACATGACGTGAACTCTGCCTTTCCAGGTGTAGTTTTAGGTGTGCAACTCGTGGACAGTAATGACACTCACAAAGGCGTGCAACCGTGGCCACTGTTTGCAAAGCATCGTCACCGCCCCCGTGGGAAACTGCACCCACTAAACCCGCACTCCAGCTCATTTCATGCCTCTCAGAGGTTGCAGCACCATTGAAAACACTATACACACACATATGTATGTATGTGTGTGTGTCCCCTGGCCCCCTCCCTGAACGCACTGACTGACTGCCTGCCTTCCCTGCCTGTTTAGAGGGCCTGGCCCTGGAACTGGCCGGTCTCGGTGAGTGCGTGGGTCACGCCCATTGAACTTGCTGTTCTAAAGCGTTTAAAACCAGACCGGCCACTTTACAGCCAGCTTCTCTAGCTGTACAGCCCAGGCAGCGAGTGGCGGGGCGCCAGCCCCGGGACGTCACCCGCCGCGTGCTATCCCCCCAGGTGGTGATGGCACTTCTCAAGTACTGGCCCAAGACCCACAGCCCAAAAGAAGTGATGTTCTTGAACGAGTTAGAAGAGATCTTGGACGTGATCGAGCCCTCGGAATTTGTCAAGATCATGGAGCCGCTCTTCCGGCAGCTGGCCAAGTGCGTCTCCAGCCCGCACTTCCAGGTACGGGCACGGGGGTGCGTGGGGGCAGCCAGTGGCTGCGGGGCGAGCTCCCCTGGGGGGGCGGTGACAGGTTCCTGGGTGCGGCCGGTCACGCCGTGCTGCTCGTGTGATTTGAGGGTAAACGTCGAGGTTTTAATTTTAATCGTACTTCAAAATAAGATGCTAAGACTTTAATTCTATGCACCACACTTCAGTATCTTGTGCCCATTACTGGAAACATTTCTTGATAAGAACAGTTAGAAACGACCTCTCTGGGAAGCCGACTCTGTCTGCATGTCCGGCTGCTCCAGAAGGCGTACAGCCCCGTGCTCGACAGCTGACAGGCCGATCGGTGTTCACACAGCCGACGCCACGGCGGCACGGCCTTCCCTCTGACTTCGCGCCCGCGTGAGGCTCGCGGTTCCTGGCGCCGTATAACCCCGCCTCCCTTCACCCTTCAGAAAACCCTTTAGTCCCGGTTTTCGTCACCACGGAACTCTCAGTTGGGCCACTTCCCGCTTCCTTTCCTGGTTTCCTCCTTAAATGCGTCGGGCTTCTTCAGAGATTGTCCCCAGTGGCTCTGCTCTGTTCAGCCCCCCGCCCCACCCTGGCGTTCCCTTGAGCAGACGCCTACTGTAAACCGACCGTGAACAAGGTAAAACCCGAGGCTCAAAGCGAGCACGCCCCCGCGGTCCCCAGGGGGCCGGTGACCCCGCAGAGGGGGAAGCCGGGCCAGCACAGCTGCACGGGACGTGAGCGCACACGCCGCCCTGGCCCTCAGCCCACGAGGGAGGGCCTGGGTTCCTGCCTCGCCCTGCCCCCGCTGCGCCGTGTGTGCGTGGGCAGCGGCCGCTGAACGGGGCCCGTGTGACCGCGTCCTGGGCACGCCGCCCAGGGTCTGGCGTGAGTGTCCGCTGAGTGAGCGGTGCCGCTGCCCTGGCCCTTCAGCGTGACGTCCCGGGCGCCGACGTCCAGCCTTCTTCATCGCGTGGCACACGCGAGCTGCTCGCTAAAACCGTGCAGCACGCCGGAACATGCATTCTGCTTTTTGCCAGTCCGATATAAACGTGTAATTCTGATTGACTTACAGAACAACAATAACAGTAGTAATGACCACCTTTTTGCTCCAAAGTGACTTTTTAAAGAATCAGGTGCCTGCACCTGTACGCAAGGGTTTCTGGTACCAAGAACTAACCAATCAGACGAAACGTTTTTAGGCAGCGTGACCAGTAAGACACAACCACATCATGTGACCTACATGTTTGTGGTTCGAGACGGGGTTCACACTGGGTGGCCGTTGTTGCGCTGGCTGTTGTCAGTTTTTTATTTGACAGTCTACCAGGAGAAGGTCAGTGCCCCTGAATAAATAGCTAAGTATGGCGTGCGCTGAAAATTCTTGCCGCACACCAGCCAGAAATCACTGGCCGAAGGTGTCGTGAGTTTGTGGGAACAAGTTTGCTGACACAGCACACACTTCATCGTCCTGCTCACGGGGGTAGCGGGGAGGGTATCGCGGACGATTCCCGTCACAGCCGGAGTAAAGCGTGCGCTTCCTGTCCGCCAGGTGGCGGAGCGAGCGCTGTACTACTGGAACAACGAGTACATCATGAGCCTCATCAGCGACAACGCCGCCAAGATCCTGCCCATCATGTTCCCGTCCCTGTACCGCAACTCGAAGACCCACTGGAACAAGTGAGCAGGGCCGGCGGTCTCCGCGTCTGCGGGTCTTGTTCTTTGCTGTTTAACTTCTTTTCTGAAGGTTTTATCGATTTACTTTTAGAGAGAGAGGAAGGGGGGGGGAGAAGGAGAGGGCGAGAAACGGCAATGTGCAGGAGGTAATTCCACTGGCTGCCTCTCGCACGCCCCCCAGCCGGGGGCCCGGCCCACAACCCCGGCCTGTGCCCTGACAGGGATCTGTGACCCTTTGGTTCGCAGCCAGTGCTTAACCCACGGAGCCACACCAGCCGGGGCTTTAATTTCATTTTTTAATTACAGTTTGCATTCAGTGTTACGTGTAGTAGTTTCAGCTGTAGCATCTTCTGCTCATGCTTCAAACCGCTTACGGTCGAAATCCAAGTCTGAAATATCTGTTACGAAACAAGACGTTGATTTCTCTGCGGCCTCGTGATTAAGTGGAGGTGCGGTCCGTAACTGGCCTGCCCCACCGCCTTCTGGGCCCACGTGCGTTCACGCCCGCTGTCCCTGGCCACCGTGCGAGCAGCAGTGTCTCGATAAGTTCCCCCCAGAGGACTCGGAGGTCCCTGCAGAGCTCACAGGGCTCTGCCCCTGCGGGAGCACAGTGCCCCCCACCCCGCTCCTGGGGCCTGGAGCCCTGCCGGCCCGCGCCCCGGTGAGCCTCCCTACGTGACCGAGAACCACCCGCTGTGCCCCCCCGTCCGAGAGCAGGGGATGCGGACGAGGCCTGAGGAGCCTCACGCGTGCTCCCCTCCTGTCGGTTCACGGAGGAGGGTGCGTGGGCCGGTTCTCACCACAGTGCTCCCTGAGACCGTCTCAGTGTGGGCGCCGCCGCCGCCCTTTGCATGATAACCGTGGGCACGGGCGGGGCTGTCTGCTCACATTCCCCCCCGTTCTGCGTGCGCAGAGCAGTAAGTGGGGATTTAGAGCAGGGCGGGGAGCTGAGCGGGGACCGCTGCTCCTGCCCCTCGTGCACAAGGGGGCAGTGGGCTTGGGGGCAGCAGCCCGGCCCGCAGTCCGCCAGGGCCCCGGCCGCTCCCTCCCCTGGAGAGCGGGGAATGTCGGCGCCCAGCCTGGTGTGCCGTGAAAGCCAACCGAGACAGCAGTAACGCACAGGCACGCCGCGATTTTTGCGCCTCACACACGTGTTGTTTGTCGGCTGGAGGCGGGAGACCCCGCCAGCGAAGAGGGGCCCGCCCACTCTGGGCTGGCGGTCGGGAAACCCACCCGCTGTGCGGCCTCGCTGTGCCTGGACACACGGCGCTCTGCCTGGCAGTGACCTTCACCTCGCTGTGAAGGGGGATTGGGGAGAGGTCAGCTAGTCCTAACACCCGACGGGCCCCCCCGTAAACACTCACCGCAGTCCTGGGCGCGGGAGCGCCCCCGACTGGCCCAGTCGAGGTTCGCGCGTTCGCTGGGAACCGCCGCTCCAGCGCCTTCCCTCTCCGAGCCCCGCGGTGACGGCCCGTTCCCGTGCGCACCTGAGCGTGACTCCTGCCCCGCGCACAGGAAGAGAGGCTCTTTTAAGTGTTGCCCGCGTATGATGTGGGTTTTTATTATTATAAAGTTAACTAAAAAGTAGTTACGATTTGAAAGTTTAATTTTTTGTTTCGGGTTTTGGTTTGACATCTCTCCGGCTGCTGCTCTCAGATGTGGGGTGGGGGGAGGCTCTGCTGCGCAGCCGTGCTGCCGACCTCACGGGGCCCCGCCCCTCCGAGGTGCCAGAGCCCGCAGCCGGGTGCGACTGCGCTGCCCTGCGGTGATTTCATCCTCCGCCTGCCAAAGCTCTGCAGGCATTACTAAAGTTAGTTGTTTCTGTCCTCAGTGAATGAGGTGGAAAGGAAACTGGCATTTATAGGAAATAAAGTGTTTCCATTATTGTTCTCTGTATAATTAAGTTCGTCTTAGTTATACTTGTTCAAGTTTAACCCAGGGCCGGTGAGCAGGGCCGTGAGGGGGACTCAGGACCGCGAGGCCGGCTGTAGCAAAAGGAATAAGTGAATCCGAAGCCGCAGCCTCTTCATTTTAAAGCTTGAGAACTTTGCAGACTGTTGACGTAGCCTGATAGGTTTGGAGGAGAAATCGGCTGTCACCGCGGATCGGGGGGGCGGGGGTGCAAGTGATGAGGCGTTCTGAATCTCGACACCGAGTTTCACTTCCAGGACAATCCACGGCTTGATATACAACGCCCTGAAACTCTTCATGGAGATGAACCAAAAACTGTTTGACGACTGCACTCAGCAGTTCAAAGCAGAGAAACTGAAGTAAGTTGCTCTTCTCCAAAGTTGCTCTTTCAAGGGCGATTTTTTTCCTTAATCCTGAATAAACTTCTGTTGGTTTGTCCTAATGTCATTCTTCACGTTAAAGCAAAATCAGCCCTTTCATACTTCGAAAGCAAATAAAACGTTTGTTACGATAACCTTATTTTCAGAGAACACACCCTTAAAGTTAGCTGTTTTCTCCACTTAAACGCTCCTAGTTTAAGTGTTTTTGCGGAAGTGCACGTGCGGCCAAGAATTTAACGGCCAGGATTTCTGCACCTTTCAGGGACACTGGGAGGCCTCGGTGCGCCGCGGTGCGCCGTGGCCTCCGTGCTCGCCGGACGGGAGCGGGAGTCAGTCATCGTCCCGTGAGATTCGGGCGGGGGCACGCGCCCTTCCCCTTCCCACAGCTCCGCTCGCGGCGCTGACCCCTGCTCCGCGGGCGCCCCTGGGGTCTGGCCTGTGTCCTTCGCAGAGCCACGCCCCCGTCCACACTGTCTAGGGGCAGTCTGGGTGACAAGGCGCTCTGTATCCTTCATAGTTGTGTGATTAGTCGGGGTTATGAAAACCCCGACTTCAGGGTCAGTGTGAACTGTCGGAGCTCTTGTCCTTTGCTTGTCCCTTGGAACTGGCTACGGTAGATCCCCTTGACTGAAGGTCATTCGTTCAGATCACAGCCTGTGTGACAGCAGTCACATCCACCCTTTGCGCACCGTGAGTGTCTGCCTGTGTGCCAGGCCGTCCTGGCTTCCGGCAACACCGCGGTGACCGGAACCAGCAAAGGCCGGCTTCCCTGGGGCCTGTGTTCTGGGTCGGGGGCGGGGGAGGGGTAGAGCGAGGCAGCCGGCACGCACAGGGGAGCTGTGGAGTGTGGGCCGGTGGTGCGCAGCAGCGGGCTCGGGGAGGCCGCGCCCACACCCTCCGCCCGGCCGCAGCTCAGCTGCTGGGCGCAGGGCTCAGCCACGGTGGCGGGCCCGCTCTCCCAGAGTGTCACAGCTCTCCGAACGGGGCCCTAAAAGTCGTGTTGCCGGTGTCCTGGGCTCACGAGCAAGTTGAGCTCAGCGACGGCCTGGAGGCCGTGTGACTCCCCGGGGGTGGCGTCAGACAAGGCCGCTGCTTTTCAGCGTCAGCCTCGGGGTGGGGGCCGCCGGCTCGCTGCGGCGCTCCAGGTCTCCCCCCTGAGTGAGTGACGGCTGCCTTCTCACCCACCGTGTTTCCCGCGTCCCGCCCTCGCCGCCCCACGGCGAGGAGACGGGGCCGGGGCGCTGCCCCCACAGTGGTCTCCCTGTGGCGGCTCCCTGGGTTTGCTCCCTCTCTCTAACCCCAGTGACCTTTTACTGTTTTCCAGGGAGAAGCTAAAAATGAAAGAACGAGAAGAAGCGTGGGTTAAAATAGAAAACCTAGCCAAAGCAAACCCGCAGGTACTACAACGGAGAGTGACTTGAGATGTCTCGGGCGGGGCCGCATGTTTCTGTGAGACGGGCCGGTGGCGCGTCACGGGTGGGCGGGCGGCCGTGCGCACGGACGCCGTGTGTGAAAACGTCCGCAATAAAAGTGCTTTCAGCTTCCGGACAAGCGCTCGCTTTGCCCCAGGGCGTCGTTGCCGCAGGACTGGCGTTTCCCTCCTGCCCTTTAAGTAAGGCGTGAAAGCGATGGGTGTGCTGTGGTGAAAAGAGGCCGGGACACACAGGCTCCGTCTGGGCCAGCATTGCGATGTGCTTTCCCTTGCAAACGCCGTAGATGCTGTAGCTCAAGCCGTACTTCCGTCTTTTTAATAGCAAATTCTAAAAGAAAAGGAATGAGATTTGGAATCTATCGAGTATAAAGTTTATCGCTTCTTCCCTAAAACCGGGTTTCTATAGGCCGAGCCTTTGTCATTCAAAAATTGCCAGACCCCTGTCCTCGAAGCAGCTGAGCCCGTCCCGCGTCCGAGCGGGGGGGCCTGCGCATCTGGCACGCGGCACCGACGCCCGGTCTCCCGAGCAGCCAGCCTCGGGGCCCTGGGAGCCGTGACTCCCGGGGTGGCTCCGGGGTGGCCGGGCTCCGGGGGCGTGAGTCCTGGTCCTCGGGGCCCCGTCACCGCAGACGGTCCTGCGCCTGCCGCCGCAGTGCCTGCCGCTCCCCGAACGCCGTCCGTGTGGGTCTCTCTGTCACGCTGAGCGTGCTCGGGTGTCCCCGGCGCCCCAGGAAGGAGGAGGCTTGACTTTGCACGGAGGGGCGTCCCCGGAGCCCAGCCAGGCCCCGCGAGCCGTCCGCGCGCCGTGCTGGGGGTGCGCGAGAGGAACTGTCGTCTCAGCTGGTGGGGAGGCTTGCCAGTCTCCGTCAGGTTTCACAAACAGCGAGGCGCGAGTGCGGGGGGAGGAGTACACCTTGCCTCTGTGATAACACTGCTTTGTGCTTCCTCTGCTGAAACTACAATCAGGAGACTTACGCCATGGGGAAGTTGAGTGACATTCTTAAATGCTCCCTTGAGTCCGCCTAAAACGAACAGCCAGCGGTGTCTGTTCCGCCCTGTTCCACCGCAGCGCCATCCTAGGACGCCTGCGGCGCCGCGGGGCGCTGGCCTCGGGCGGCAGCTCGGGCAGCGGCTGCGCAGCCTCGGGCTCCCGTGTCGCAGGGCAGGGCGTCGGCGGCGCGGACGCACAGTAACGCCGCAGGTCCGGGCGGTGGGCGGCGTCTGCACGTGGCGCCGGCAGATGGGGCCCCCGCGAGGGCTGGCGAGAACCCGTCACACGCACTCCAGATCGACCCCCTGGAGAAACACCGGAGACACGGACCAGTCAGTGTGTCGCACTGGTTTTGCCGAGAGCACAGACGGGACCTCACGAGAGGCTGCGCGAGCTGTCACGTGACGGAGGGGAAGTGCTGGGGGGGGCGCACAGGCCCGGCTGGGTTCACCGCGGGGCCGTGACAGCCGTTCCTCCCGAGACGTGGGCCGCTGTGGGCTCCCCTGCGCTGTCTTGTGTTGCGTCTCCGTCCCTCTTGGCCGCTCTCCTTCCTCACCCATGTCTCGGGCGCCGGGGCAGCGTGCAGGGAGTGCCTGCGCCCGGGCGCCGCCCTGCGGGGACCCGCCCTCCATCCGAGCACCGAGCGCCCCCTCAGCCCTGTGTTGACACATCTGTGGCTCCACCCCGGGCGCCTCTCTGTGCGAGCAAGCGGAGCGGACGGAAAGTACTTCGTGGGCGGGGCCCGCCGGCTGGGGGCGGGGTCTGCGGGGCTAGGGGGCGGGGCCTGCGGGGCTGGGGGTGGGGCGGGTGGGGCCCATGCCTGCCCTGGTCCTCTCCAGGGAGCAGCGCTCCGGAACTCGAGCCCCCGCTCGCCGTCCGCCACAGAAAGTCAGCGAGTCGTTTCCTGCCTGTGCGACCGGGACGGCTGGGTGTCTGAAGCTTGGTTCTCGGGCTCAGACCCGCCCTTTTCAGAGTCGATTTAACGGCTTCCCCTTTGGGGGCGGGTGCTCCGGGGTCCGCCCTCTGTCCCCTGACGCGCGTGGAGGGGCCTTCTAGACGGTTCCTCCGGTTGTCTCACGGACCGCGTGTTTCGTGTTCCCACGGCCGTGGGCCCCGGGAAGGGGGCGCCCCCGCGGAGCTGAGTCTGTTTGTTCCGGCGGTGGTGGCAGCTTCGCTGGGCGTTAATGCCGGACGTGACTTAACTTCTACATCGTGAGATGCTGCTCTCCGGCATCGCTTCTCCTAATCAACCAAGTGGGGCCGCGTCACGGTCTACTGCTGCCCTCTCCGGGGACGTTCACGGGGCCGTGTGAAGTGACCACCAGCACTCCCAGGGGCTCTGGGCGGGGCTCCGGCGTGCCGTCCGCCCGGGGCAGCAGGAGGGGAGGGGGCGGCCGCCTGGGCTCCGAGAGACACGGCTGCCTGGGGGCCGTGCGCTCCTCGGCCCTGCTGTGAGCTTGAGCCTGCACGGAGGCGTCTGTTCCCTGGGCGACCCCGCCCTGCCACGTGACGCTCGTTTTGCCGTGAGCGTGCTGTGGCGCCCTCGCTGACCCGTTCTCTGCAGGGGCCCAGCGAGGACCGGGAGCCCGCGCCGCCGCCGTCATAGCCCACCCCCCGGGTCGGGTGGGCGCTCCGTTTCTGCTCAGAGGGGCCAGGTGCCAGCCTGCTGGTTCAGTGTCAGTCCCTGCGCCGCCACAGGAGGGCCGCAGCTGCTGTCCCCTTGGTCTGGCCCAGCGGCCGGGAGCCTCGTGAGGACAAGGCGTTGTGCCGTGTCCCCATCTCCCCCGTGGCCAGTGGGGCACAGCCCCAAGTCATGGCACTTTCCCAGGACAAAGATGGGGGGCGGTCAGACTGCACCCACTGCACACTGGGTGAGGAGGGCTGGAGGCCCGCACCCGCTGTCGAGGGGGGGCCTGGGAGGAAACGGTGCCGCTTTGGGGTCCCGAGGGGCCTCGGCCCAGCAGGAGTCTCAGCCGAGGGACTCGGGCCGTCTGAATTCCCCGGAAGGGGCTCGGGGCAGAGCGAGGACGGCAGGGACGCTGCGTCCTTCCGCGCTGGTGGGCTCCAGACGTGGGGGAGGGCCGGGTGTGCTCTGCACCGGAGGAAGGGGACGGAGGTGTGGGTTTCGCCCGTGTGTGTGCTGAAGTGTCACGAGCAGCCGAGTGACCTCGTCAGCCCTGCGTCTCAGACCGCTCGGGCCGCCAGCAGTGCGGGGGGCACGCAGGGCCTGCCGCGTGGGGGCTGTGCTGAAGAGCGAGTGAGGGTGGGGCTCCAGGGGGCGAGCGGCCTGCAAGGATGGGGTTTGGGGGGTGGGGGGGCACAGGCGAACGGAGCGGGTTCACGGGCGTGAGGCGCAACCCCACGGGACGCGTGAGTTGGACAGGGCCTGTTCTGAGGGGCCGGCAGGAGGTGACGGGGGAAGCCGGGGGCAGGGGGCGTTCTGGCTACAGACAGGCTCAGGAAGCCGCTGGGAGGCCCGTGGGCCCCGGGGACACGCTGTCCCTTCGCTGCAGTGCCAGCTCACCGTGGCAGCTGTGCGGGTGGGTGTGGTCCGTGGTGGGGCCGAAGCGAGTTAGGAAAAAGAGCAAAGGGTCCAGGAAGGAGGATGCGAGAGGAAAGGGAAGGGCCCTGGGTCGGCAGGCGGTGTGTGAAGGCTGGGAGGTTAGAGGCGCAGGCCCCAGTGACCGACCCAGGGCGCGCCCTCGCTGCTCCTGTGGAGCCAGGACACCAGGGACTGCAAGGTGCTGGCACCACCTGTCCCCAGCCCCGGGGGGCTGGGAGGGTAGCGTGACCACTGGGGCCAGCCCTGCCCTCCCACCCGCGTGTGGCCAGAGCTGTGGGGACCACAGTGGTCCGCGGCAGGGCCAGGGCGCTGCCGGAGGAGGCGGTGGAGGGCCCTGGGTGCATTGGAGGGAAGCCGCGTCCCGCCAGGAGGAGACCCTGGCGCCCGGCCCCGGGCGCTGCCGGAGAGTGACCCCACACTTTGCATTGCAGTACACAGTGTATAGTCACACGAGCACCGTGAGCATCCCGGTGGCAATGGAGACAGATGGGCCCTTGTTTGAAGATGTGCAGATGCTGAGAAAGACAGTGAACGAAGAGGCTCGCCAGGTAAAAGTGCGCAGAGCTCCGCTGGGAGGCGCGCGCTCGCTGGAGATGCGCTTCCGAGGTGCACGCCCCCGTGAGGGGTGGCGTGCTGCCCGGCAGGGGCTGCCGTGGGAGCCAGGGTTCAAGTCCAGCTGCAGAGGCTGCACGGGGAACACCTCACCTGCGCATCTCAGGGTCGATTCGCTGGAAACGGTCCTGAAGGGTTAAGCGTGTGCCTGTGGCCTGTCTCTGCCTCCCCGTTAACAGCAACGGCCCCATCCTTACCTGTTCTTTCCATGTTAACTTGAGCCAAAAGTCGAGAGCTTCGCAGTAACTAATGTCTTGCCGCTGTCCTCTCCTTTTGCCTTCCTCCGACTTCCGCACTGGCCCAGCGGGTCTGCGCGAGCCCCCCCCTCCCCACTGCACTCACAGCCCAGCTCAGCCACCCAGACGTTGGGGGGCCCGGGCGGGGCCTGCGCCCCGGTGGGGTGCCCAGGCCTGCCGCATGCAATCCCTTGCTCGTGTGGTTTGCTTCTGCCGTGGTGGGAACACCTGTGGTGGCCCCCACTGGCCCACAGGTAGACCCGTTGCTCAGTTGAGAACACACATGACGTGGGCGCCAGAGAGGGTTGCACAGCAAGCTCCTGCCTGTGCTCGAGGGGCCTTCCCGAGCCGTGCCTCCCTGAGGACGCCCCCCGTTTCTGCTCGTGTAAGCTGATGTCGTGCTGGCCAGGCTGGGGACCTGGCCTCTGACTTCAACCCGGGGAGAGTTTCCAAAGACGCCAGCGCTGGAACTCTGACGTGTGCGAGGCCGGAGTGCCTGGAGTCACGCTGTGTGCCGTCTGCAGACGGCTCACCAGTGCTGGCCTCCTTCAGAGCTCCATTAAGTGGAGGGGCCTTTCGGTCGGCTCGATTTCAGTTCAAGAAAACCGCACTCGCCGCCTGGTCAGACAGGACTGGATGTTTCCCGGAGCGCTGGCCCAAGGGCCATCCAGACCGCGCAGGCCACGCTGTCCGGCCCGCAGCCACAGCTGTGTGGCCGCCAGCAAGAAAAGCACGTGGAAGTGTCTCATTCCGCACTTTCCATTTTTTTTTTTAAGATTTTATTTATTTTTTAGAGAGACGGGAAGGGAGGGAGAAAGAGAGGGAGAGAAACATCAACATGCGGTTGGCTCTCATGAGCTCTTCACTGGGGACCTGGCCCACAACCCAGGCATGTGCCCTGACTGGGAATCGAACCAGCGACCCTTTGTTTCGCAGCCTGTGCTCAGTCCACTGAGCCACACCAGTCAGGGCTCACTTTTAATTCTTGCCCATACATAGAAATGACAATATTTGGGGTATACTGGGACAAAGTAAACATCCAGATTAATTTTGCCTGTTGCTATTGCTTTTCACTTTGTTGACACGGCTACTAGAAAATCTGAAATTACGTATGTGGCCGGCGTGACTTTGGATCGGGCGGCCCTGGTCTGGACCCCTCTCTCGGGGTTGCAGGAGGTGCCCGCTCTGGACATGGCCATGCTGCTCCTGCTGGCCGGCTCCCAGCTGCAGGCTAAAACGGAAAGCAGGCAAACGCACGCTCCGTTGGCCTGTCGAGACTGAAAACACGAGGAGTGCGGTGGGGAGCTCAGCACGCCCCTGGTGAGCGTCAGGAACTCAGTCTTTACGTAGTCCGCGAGTTCCGTGGTTCCCTCACAGTTAGTGATTTTATCAGGGAGACAGACCTAATAAAAACCATAGAAATTCTCATATTTTTCTCTGTTTGTGGGAGCATTGATCTTCCTACTTGATTTTTTTTTAACTTGGAAAGCAATTTGAGGTCCTCGTTTTGCTTACCGTTTTGATCTGACAGCTTAAAGCGTGCTGAGGAGCGGACTGCCAGCCTGTCACCTGCAGACAGGCAGACGAAATCAAACTGTTGCCCTTCCCCGGGGGGCCCGCCTGTGAACTTGTAACCATGTGCTCGTTGTTAATCTGTCCACAGGTGAGGAGGAAATTGATGGTTTGCAAGCCAATGCTTTCACAGTCAGTGTCTTAGGGTTGGAGAATGTTTCTTTCTGGTACATCCTCTGACTTGATGGTCAAAGCCAGGAAGAAAACCAACTGCCCCAAAAGTAATGAGCATCGTACGTAATTGTGTGACCTATGGACATGTGTGTGGCTTAGGGCCTTCTCTGCAGGAGATCACGAACTTGATCAAGAACGCAGGCTAAGCTAGTGTTCTCTTCTGGAGTAAGACCTTTGGAAGCAGCACCAGCCCCGGGGAGACAGCCAGGACCCAGGAACCCTCCCGACCGGGTGATCTTGGCACAGGGCGGCTGTCCTCCCCGGGAGGAGCGCTGCCCGTGTGCTGGGGAGAAGCCCGTCCACCCGTCCAGTCCCAGGTCACGGGCGTGTGGACAGGGTGGTTTCGGGGGGCTCAGAGCAGGTTTGTTTTCACGGCTCTTGACATTAGAGTGCACGACACAGGTTCTTCATGTAGTTGACAGTCTTTCAGGAGTGACGCCCCTTCCCTTCAGATTTCCGCGGGCCACGTTCCAGGGCTGGGAGACTCCGTGCCTTTAAGAAGACACCGCCAGTTCTCCCCAAACGAGCACCGTCTCAGGCGGAGCCCCGGCGGCAAGCTGTCCCCAAAGTCACATGGCACCACAGAGGACCTAGAATAGCCAAAACAATGCCAAAAGAACAAAGTTAGATGGTTCACAACACTCCCCAGCTGCAGGACTTCTTGTGGGTTTCTGTGGATCAGCCTGTCTGGACGAAGACCTTCATGGTGCAGCCTGCTGGGCGTGACATGTGATGTGCGGGAACCCTCTTCACGGGGGACTGTTCGCAGCCACGTCCCGGGAGTCGCAGCGACTCCGCGGTCGGGGCACAGGGGGCACCGGGATGCGGGGGCAGCGCACGTCTGTGGCTGAGGGCCAGCACCGACAGAGGACGCGTCAGCTGAAAATTAAGCCTTTACTGTTTCCAGTGCCCTTTTAGTTTTACTTTCAACTAATTTTACTTCCCAACATAAGTCCACATTTCTTTAAAATGACCCCCGTGCATTGCACTGACTCTGAGGGCCGGGGGGCGGGGGGGGGGGGCGACTGGTTGGAACTGGGTGGAGAGTCTCGGCGGTGCGTTCGCGCGTCGGTGCGTTCGCGCGTCCCAAGTCCGTTGGCGTTTCCTTTGAGGAAGGTGCGCAACCCCATCTAGAACATCCTGGGGACCTTGTGCGAAGGGCGTTTACACCAGACATTTAAAATGTTTGCCGTTCTGGTTTTTAACAGTCGGTTGGGACAAAAGCCGCGGCAGCCGTGCAGGCCAGGAGAGTGGGGCTCAGGCAGAGGAGAGGCGGGGAGCTCGGGGACCTGGGGCTCAGGCAGAGGAGAGGCGGGGAGCTCGGGGACCTGGGGCTCAGCCTGCAGAGTGTGTTGGGGCTCTTGCACCGAGGGAGAGAGTCGACACGCTCGTGTGCCCATGAAGTAGTGTCCCTGTCACCTAGCTCGTTCCTGGTGGTGAGGGTCGTAGTGGCGAGGGCTGGGAAGTCCGCCCCGCTCCGGCAGTGACGCGTGCGCAGGGTCCCTCACTGTGCGGGTGTGGCCTCTCCCTTAGAGCTGCCATCAGCTGCAGAACCGCAGAACCGGCCACCTCCTCCCGGGGGCATCCCGCACAGAGACGTCCCAGTCCTGGCACGCCATCGTCTGTCCGTCTGTCCCGCCCTCCGCCAGCATGCCGGCAGCGCGTCCCCTCCACCGAGCGTTGCCCCCTGAGGGTGGCCATCTGCACGGCGTCTCGTGCTGTCCTGCTCCCGTTCCTCCGAAGTCACTCGCTGCTTCACACAGGGACCGAAAAGGCCCGCGCGCCGGCCCACTTGGGGGTCCGGGGCCTGCGTGTGCTCTCTGACTGCATCTGCCGGTCCAGCGGCGAGGTGCCCGCCGGTGCCTTTTTCTAGCAAAACGCTTCCTCCCTCCTGGGAGTGCTGTCTCCGCGGCCGTCACATCCCTCGGGCAGGACGTGCTGGGTTTGGTCTGACTCGCTTTGCTTCGTTTTATAGCTCGCCCTGCAGTGGGCGTAAAACTCGGGGCGGGGTTTCCCTCTGAGGGTCCTGTGGGCCGCCGGCAAGCCCCCTCACAGACGAAAGCACTGCGACCAGTGCCGCGACTGTGACGGACCCGGCCCCACAGTCCCTGGCATGCGTGGCTTTCGGGAAGCCGCTCACAGGGTGTCCGGGGGAAGACCAAACCCCCTGCCTTCACCGTGAATGACTGTCAATATCCAGTAACGCTTCAGAAATAATCTTGAAGTGATGTCACTCAAAATTGTTTCCAAGCTTCGGTATTATTGCTGTTTGAGGAGGTAGTATGCAGAGAACCCTAAGAAATGCCAGCTCTGCAAAAAATGTGCACTTTCCGTGTACGACCTCTGCAGGTTCTTGAATGTTTTTCATTAAAGCCAAGAGTACTGTTCCGACTGCACCGAGCTAGGCACAGGCTCGAGTTTCTGGGCGGCCTTCTGTGTGCACGCGGCTTCGGTGAGTCCGACGGCTCCCCGTCGTCGCGCCTAGGCAGCGCTCTGTTAGCGCAGCGGCCCCCCCTGCGAGTGGGATGCCTGGTTTGCCGGCCACTCCCGGAGACGGGTGTGCGTGGGTGTCGGCCGCCTGCACTGGGCCCCTTTCCTTTGCAGGCACAGGTCTCCGAATCCTCGTGCAAACGTGAGCTTTATTTATTTTAAGGAAAGCCCGGCTGTTCTAAACTTCAGGAAGAGAATGGGCTGGAAGAGGGAGTCCTTTATTTCTTACAGTTACTGTTGGGAGATCTTACGTAAATAAAAAACACTTTTCTAAGTTTTAGAGGGTTTTTCCCCCCACATGACCCATTTAATACCTCTTAAAGTATCTCTTTTCAAGTTTTATAGAAGTTTGAGACGTTTTAAATTCAGTTTAAAATAATCCCTAAAAAATTTGAGTTCGTTTTTATTTACCTACAAAGGAAATGTCAACGTTATGAAATGTTTCTGGAAGGGCCAGAGCCATAGAATGGCTCTGGGGACATTTCATCAAATAGGAGGGTTTGACGATGTTTGGGGTTGACGAAACACTGATGCATTTGCCCGGGGGAGGCGCCGAGTACTCTGGGTAAAACTGCACGTTTGAGAAGACAGAAACGCCGTGTTGTGCGCACCGTCCTTCTCGCCGGCCATGAGACTATTTTTAACGTGCCGGTCTGGGGTGACTACCGCAAGAGGAGGTGCTTTGCCCCTTTGCACGTCCCTTAGCGCTCAGAGGGGCCGGGTGAGAGCCGCCCCCCACCGCACACTGCCCCGCGCCCTTGAGGCGCGCACGCACGCGCACGCGCGCGCTCCCGCTGGGACAGCGCAGTCCGTAGTCAACGCCCTGCCTTTGTACTTCCAGGCACAGAAGGACCTGAAGAAGGACCGGGCCCTGGTGCGCCGCAAGTCCGAGCTGCCTCAGGACCTCCACACCAAGAACGCCTTGGAGGCTCACTGCAGAGCCGACGAGCTGCTGTCCCAGGACGGCCGCTAGCCGCCCGCCCTGGCCGCTGGCGCGTCCCGGGTCCTGTAGAAAACACACACTTTCGTGCCATACAGATCAGTCACACTCAGAGTCAGAGCTTTCTCGCCCCGTCCTCTAGGCAGTAGCGCGCCCCGCCCCCGCCCCAGAGCAGGAGTTCGAACGACGGTGCCGCGGACGCAGGCAGCGCCACCGCAGCCGCCGCGGCGGTGTCCCCGATTCGGAGCTAAGGCGAGCACCCTGGTCATCACCCTCACCTTCTCCCCGAACGGAACTCGCGATCGTTGAAAATAGGTGGTTCTTTGAGAATATCAATGTTTTTCAAATCAAAGGAACACTTTTAAAAAGTATTTCGTATTTTTAAGATTCTACAACCTTTGAAATTGTTTCCATGTGATTGTTTACACCAGCAGTTTCTTCTTTCTTTTTCTCCCACTGTCATGGAACTGCTTCTTTGCTGTCATTGCTCTAACGTGGACGATGGCACATAACTGTCCCCGGAGCAGGTTTTTCCTGAGTCTCCTTTACTTTGAGTAGCGACAGGGGCACCGTGTCCGACTCCTTTCGTGTCTTTCTAAAGCCATAGCTGCCCGTCTGCCCACACCAGGACTCCAGCAGGGAGCTCGCGGGAGGGGTTTGTTCGACACGGAGCTTTCTGTCTCCCTTGGCTAGAATTGGAATTTTTAAAACAATGTGTTCATCCTGGGGTTTGCCGATGTTTTTTTTTTTTCACTTCTTACACAGTGTGTCCTTTAACAAGGCTCTCGAGTTAGTATTAACATTAGAGTCTTAAGAGCCCTCGCGCTTTGTAGAAAGCCGGGATGAGCGCATTTCGAGAAGCCAGTGCTCGGCCGAGCGCGAACCGCAGCCGCCTCCGGGCCAAGGTAACAAAAGTCACGCCCTGCGCGCCGGGCGCTGGCGCGCGCTCGGGGCTCCGCGGGCGGGCCGGACGGCGAGGGTGGCCGCAGCTGAGTCCTGCTGAGCCGAGCACACGCCCCACACACGCTCGAAAGGAAAACCTAGTGTCTGGCTCTCCTCCAACGCTGCTACCTGTCTCACGCCTTCCTTGCATGTACTGAGCTTTCGTTTCGATGGAATAGCACGAGGAAATATCCTTTAAACTTAGTACTTTGTCTGTTCTTTATTTCTCTCAGGGTGGCCAGTATTTTGACTTATTTTATCCTGCTTGAAAGCTGTTTGAGACGTGCACTGCTATTCTACACAAACGACCCTAGTTTCTTTTGTCTGCGGCATAAGATTGTATAGGCTGATGATGTTAACTGTCTGGATGCACAAAAGATAAAATGTGGCTTCTTTTACGATCCGTCTTCTAGTCGAGGTCTTGGCATCTACTCACGTTGTGCAAGCAGACGTCGTCCCCGCCACCGAAGCCCACGGGCGGGCGGCGCGCGTGTCCTGGGCCTGGGGGCAGGGCCCCGGGGGTGGGGGGAGGGGCCCCTTGCGTGGGGCGCACGCGCCGCCTCGGAGAGAGCCCGGCGCAGGCGCGGAGCCCGCTCGGCGAGCAGACGCACTTCCTGAGACACTTGAGCAGCCTCCGTCCGTTTCACCACGATGAAATTCGCCGTTTTTCACAAGTCTGGATGCCTTCTCCTCTCGAGGGAAAAAGGGTGCTTTCTACTGTATGCAGCAGTGTCCTGCGTGCTCCGACGCACCGTCGTTTGAACCTCGTCCTCGGCCGGCGCGCGCGGACAGCCTGGGCCGCGGTGTTCGGGTGTCTGCCCGCGGGGGGGCCCCCCGGGAAGGCGCTTGGGACCCCCCCCCGGGGGGAGGGGCAGCAAAACGCCGCTGTCCGGGGGCCGGCGGGATGCCCAAGGCATGAGAACGTCCTCCGTCTAGATTTCACTTCTGCTCTTTATCGAAGACAAACATTCACCAAAAAGGGGGAGAAAAGGTTTTGAGAGAAACTAATTTTCTTTGACGAGAGTATTATTTAATATTTTGGCCTATTCGAGTTTTCCTAGTTAGTATTCAGGTTTCCTGTGCTAATTGTTCAACTTATATATATATTATTATATAGATACACTGTTTATTCTGTACCAGACTGATTCCAAAAGTACCACGTCGACAATAAACCGGTGACTGTTTTTCTTCATAAAGCTCGGGTTTGGCATCTCACTCTTTCCGAAACGTGTCTGTACGTCAGGAACGTCGCTGTTCCGAGTGTCCGTTTAGTGTGGCTTTAGTATGGCTTCCTTTTAATATTGTACATACATTGTATCTTTGTTTTATGGTAATAAGTAATAAAATGTAGACTTCATATTTTGTACAAAATGTCCTATGTACAGAATAAAAAAATTCATAGAAACAGCAAAAATAGGTAAGTGGCACAATTATTTTTCTTTAGAAAATATCTGTAACTTTATGCTTTAGTGAAATGTTAAGTACCTACATATTTTTTAACATTTTGTAACTCAAAACTTTTGGTTTTGACATTGTTTATGAAGAGAGACTTCATACACTTGCCATTTAATATGCTCTTTTATCTAATTTTAAAAGACTCTAAAAACGGTGTACTATATGGACTGAATAAAGAACATGTGAGTTTTACTGCTCATCATGGAACTAAATGTGGCCTTGGTGTTGGGCACGCCGGTTCTGGCCATTGCCGAGTCATGGGCAGGGCGGGCAGCCACGCCAGGGACGCCGGCTGCAGGGCGCGGGCGGCACCCGTGTGCAGCCAGGGCGCCCCCTCTCATTCCTCCGAGGGAAAGAGCAGAGGTGTCTTTGCATGGACCACCTCTCGGTTTTGAGTAGGCAGATGTGAATCAGAACAGATTTTGCAGAAATGGAGTTCTTGAGCCCTAATTGTGTTTAAAATGGATCGTGAAAGATGTTAATGTCTTGGAAGTGGAGTCGCAGAGCATATGACTGGGGGGGCCCTAGGGGGCCCACCCCCGCCTCCCGGAGCTGGCCGCCCCCCACCCCCCATGCTGTCACTGAGCAGTCAGTGAGAGGAGGCCTGGGATCAGCATTCCAGCAGGCGGGCTGCGACCCGCGCCCCTCCGTGTCCTTGTGTGTCAGATGGCATCTGCGGCTCCTCCCATGGCGGGAGAAGTCGCTCTTGGGGCTGGGTGCGTGGGAGCGACACAGCCCAGGTAGTGGGTGGCCCTGGGGCGTCCGTGGCTGTCTGAGGCCTGAGCATCTGGGCACCCCGTACAGTATTCTGGAGAACCACACAGTCGCCACGTCCGCCCGGGAATGGGGGCGCTGCTCAGGAGACCTTGGAGTCTGCTGCACCTCCCAGAATCGATCGCTGTTCCCTCGGCCGGGTGTTCGTTGTGCCCCGTCGTGAAACTGGAGGAAGCTGCCGGGTCCAGCAGCCTCCTTCCGCTCGAGATTTCCTGCGAGCACGTGGGTCAGAGGCACGCCACACTCCCTCGAAGTCAGAAGCCGCACTTCCTTCGAGGTAGCCAGGGCCTGAAAGCAAAGTTGAACTGGCTTTGGGTCACCCTCCGTGAGAATTGGTCTGACACTCTCAACAGTGATGACAATAACTAATTTCTTGCCCTGGCCGGTGTGGCTCAGTGGATTGAGTGCCAACCTGTGAACCAAAGGGTCGCCGGTTCCATTCCCAGTCAGGGCACATGCCTGGGTTGTGGACCAGGCCCCCAGTAGGGGGCGCATGAGAGGCAACCACACATTGGTGTTTCTCTCCCTCTCTCTCTCCCTCCCTTCCCCTCTCTAAAAAATAAATCTTTTTAAAAATAATTTCTTACCTTTATGCCACAGGCTATTGTAGGTGTGTTTACCTGCATTAGCTCTCACCACCCACCACAGTATTTGTCCCTGTCACCATCGTGGACACACGAGGAAAGGGACACGCGAAAGTGAAGTCACTGGCCCAGGTCACACAGGTACTGAATGGAGCCAGTTTTAACCCAAGCACTGCAGCCCAGGGGGCCCAGCCCCTCCCCACTACGGAGCACCTGAGAAACCCAAGAGCATTTCAGGGGAAGGCCTGGAGCACACGCACCCTGGGCCCTGCATCCACGAGGGGTGGCCGTGAACTTGTGAGGGCTTCTGCCGCTGCAGCTGTAGAACCAGAGGAACCTCAGAAACCAGCCAGCACAGCGGCCCGTACCCACACTTCGGGGCTGCTTTATGTGAGTTCAGTTCTGTGATATTTTAACTATTGAAAACACTCAACATTACACCAAATTTCAACACTTTAGAGAGCAGAGTACTCACTAGCTTCTGTTTTCATTAATTTTGTTGCCATTACGAACCTGTAAATTTATCGTGTGTGTGGTAGGTGTGGCTTACTTAAGGTCTCGCCGTGGACGGGGGTGGGGCGCAGAATGGGTTCCACTACCAAAAAGTTTGAAATCCACTAAGAGTAACAGTTTTCTGGAGAAATAAATCCAAGTACTTCTGCTCCCGCCCCCCAGGTCTGCCATGCTGTCTCATGTTCTCGTTCTACAAAAGCATTAAGTTAATTCCATAGAATGGAAGCGGAAGCGGGGTAAAGAAACTATCTCTTCTGTCCAGAGCTTTTCCTAATGATGCCCGGCTCCCAGTGGAGGTGGCCTAGGTGACCACCCCCGTGAGCCTTTCCGAAACACTGTTACATACAGGCTGGAGCAGATCCAGGCGCTGCGATGTGTGAGAATCCGATGGCGAGTGAAGGGCAGGAGTTCGCTGACCCACCGCTTCCCCGTGTTACGGATGCAGCAGGCGCACAGCTCTGCGAGGGCGGGGCGGGCCCCAGAGCCCGGGTGCGGGCGCTCGGCTCCGCCAGCATCCAGCAGTCGGGTGCCAAGGACACGCTGGTGAGTGTACTGACTTGGCACACGCACCACGAGGTGATTACTACAGGAAGTTTAGTTAACACCCACCTTGTGTAATTACAAAAACAAAGGATCATTCCTGTAACGAAAGCAGCCAGTAGCAGACACTTTGGGTGAGCTGGGCACAGTTGACATAGAGGAGCAATTTCACCGTGAGGCCACACCCTGGACCTGGGAGCTTCTGGGGACCCCCTGGAATTACACTTGCATTTATTTTCTGCAGGAAACAGCTTTTGTCAGGTGGGTCTGTGCCCCAGAAGTGTCTAAAACAGTCCCTCACCCTGAAAAGCACTTTGTATTTCATATCAGCATTAAGTAAATATAAGAAATGCATGTACACCTGGCTTTATTTTTCCCCCTTCAACTCAGAGTCCGAATGAGGGGAAATACATTCATAGCTCCACTCGTGTTGGTAACGAGTGGTGACATGGGAGTCTTTAGGTAACCATGTGTGCCCGGACTATCTATCAGTGTGAGAGCCCAGGCAGAGCCTCAGGAGTGCACTGGGCGAAGGGGACTTCTTCCTCCATTCGTGACACTGGGCCCGCTGCCGCAACCAGGCAGTCCGGGAACTGGAACTGGCTGGCATCTGCCTCTCTCCAGCCCGAAATCTGCAGGACTTCACAGCTGGCTGCTTCACCAGAGAGGGGCCCCAAGCCCAGATCTCCCACCTCCTGCCCCACTGCTGTGTCGACGAGGTACCAAAGTAGAGACACTAAACCTGAGTGGACAGCACCTGAGTTGACACCAGGGCCCTGCCACCAGGCTGCACTTGGACGCAGCAAAGCACTTCCACCAGAGGCGGGGAGAAGCGCCCCCAGTGCTCTCACCAGTCCTCCCCTGGAGGCTCAGCCATTTGTCAGACTGCATTGTACGGTGAGCACCCTGTGCCTCTACCTGTTCTCCCAGCACCACAGACTGGAAAAGCCTTTAGGTAAAATTAAACTCTGGGATGAAAGAAATAGCATTGCCCTGGCTGGTGTGGCTCAGTGGCCTGAGTGGGCTTGGAACCAAAGGGTCGCCAGTTTGATTCCCAGAAAGTCTCCACACATGCTCAGATTTCTAAGTCCGGCCTGTGCTCAGCTGTTCCCTCTTCCCATCTCTGCCTGACCAACTCCCTCCCCTGCACACGGCAGCCAGAGGGATCAAAAACACCTCATCAGTTTGCACCCTGCCCAGCAATCCCTCAAGGGTCAAAACGTCAGCCCTGCTACTTTCTGTAGTCCCCTGTGACAGACGGAATCTTACCCATGAGCCTTCCAACCTGCTGTCCCCACTCTCGCCCTGACTTGGTTATTAGCTATTTATCCTTCAGTCTTTGTGCCCGGTCCTGACGCTCTCACAGCGTCTCCTCCATCTTCACCTTCACGGATTGCCCTGCTAGGTGTGAGCTCCAGGGAACGGTGCCTGGGCTTGTGTGGTTCCCCGTGCTCTCCAGTGCCTGGCGCGGACCTCCATTCCTCCCCCAACTCATAGGCTCAGGAGGTATTTGATGGGAGGATGAATGAATGAGCCCCAGTAGGGGGGCGTGCCATCAAAAGCTGTGTGCGGGTAATCAAGTATTCCTGCGGGACTACATGAGGTATGCGCAGAAAGTAATAGGGACAAATAAAGTCAGGACGTCTCTCCGGCCTACGACGCACCCCTGTGAACACCTGTGCCAGGCCCTGCGCTGGCAGAGAGCACACGGACCGACAAAGTAGGGCCCTGACGGCCCCGTGGGGGGTGCTCAGCACCTGAATCTCATGAAATCCACTGCCACCCCCAAATCCACAGAAGCACCTACACAACCTATTGTGCACATAATTTGGAGGCGGTCACAGCCCCCGGAAGCCCAGCGAAGGACCACGGCTTAAGCATCCCTGCTCCAGCTGGAACGAGAGCGATCAATTGAGTGCTTGGAGCGCGAGCCAAGCATGACACAGTGAGGAAGGCACCGAGGGCTTCAGAGGTCGCGAGGACAGGGACTTGCGGCAGGGAAGGCTCGGCGGCGGGAGGCCCTTGGGCCTACGTTAAGAAGTTTGTCCTATCCTCCACGCCACAGGAAGCCGTGCCCAGGCTTCCGAGCGAGGAGCGCCGGAAATGCAAGGCCGACTCAGAAAGATGACGATAGCGGTGAGCGAAGCTGCGCCAATAGGCTACGGCCCCGCCCCCGCCCGGTGCCTTGTGGGGCTTAGAGGCTCCCGGCCTCGAGTCTCGCGAGCGAGCGAGATTCACGCGGATGACAGAATTGAGCCGGAAGGCGCTGACGAGGCGGAGGGCTGGGTTGAGCCAATCCCAAGGCCTTCCGGTCCTGACCGCGGGGATTGGTCTCTGGCCGCACAGGCTGGAGTGCGCCGTGCGTCACGTGACCGAGCTGTGGCCAACCCCCAGGCACGTGGCCGAGGTGGTGGCGTCCTTGAACTTTGGTGGTGTCTTCCGCGGGAAAGAGCTGGGGTGACTTAGACCCCGAGCCAGGGCTCGGGACGCCGCAGCTCGCGGGCTGCCCGCGGGTCCCGGCCCCCGCACGCGGCTGTGGGCAGGGCGGGCTCGGGCACGCACTAAAGGCGGAAGCCCGCCTGCTGCGTCCGGGTCTTCCGCTCCCAGTGGTCTGGACCTCACTCGGTTCCCTCGCCCTTAACGTGGGCACGGTGTTGCCCGAAGAGCTAGGCGGTGCGAGGGCGTGCACGGCCCAGCTGCAAGCGGGGGCCCGCGCCGGCAGCTCAGGGGCTGACCGTGAGCCCGGTCGTTGAGTAGAGCAGGGCACCTGGCCTTGGCCGACCCCAGC